TTGAGGAGACTGGCGGGCCACAGCGAGCAGGGCGGCCTGCCTTTTCATCTTCTTGTCTTCCTTTGCATCCTCAGCTTCAAGCCGGTTATGGAGCACCCTCCGTGCAGCCACTCGTAGCTGTGCAGGACTGGTAGCAGGACCGATCGCCAACTTTTGGAGTTTCCCACGGGTGTCTGGAGCACTTCTGAGATCTGAAACACGGATTCAGGATCACTGTACTGCCCCGGGCCTCCAGGTCCCAGTTTGTGTATCGCCTGAGGCAGTCCTGCGGCCTCTGGAACAAAGTGCGTGTTTGTGGTGGGGCGGTGGTCGGGGGGAGGGGGGTTGGGGGGTCGTTGGGGTGGGCGGGGAAGGGCGGCGCGGCTTTCCCCAGGGCCCTATTGGACCTGTCTGAATTTAGGCCATTTAATGGGTGGCCGGCTTACTCTTTTCATGGCTTTCAGAAGCAGACCCCGAAAATATCCTCCCTTTCCTCCATCCCCAGGATCAGTGGGATTCCACCCTGCCTCGGTCTCTGGCACAGCCTGTCCACCAGGCCTGCGGATGTCCGATCCTGGGTCATCTTCCTTACCCGCTTGTTCCCTGGCTTCGAACGGAACGGATGACTTTGCCTCAGCCATGACGAGTGTAGTCAACAGGCTTGGAATATCTGCCCAGGTGGGATCACGAGTGCAGAAGATTCCCTTCGTCGGGCTTATGAACTCCTCTGGGTCAGTGCTCAGTCCTTGCGTGTGTGCCTTCCAATCCCACAGGTCAGAGGTGGAAAAGACGTGCACATCAATAAGCGTCCCCTCCCCGTCAGGCACCTGTCTCAGGGGCCGTATTCCAGGTGTGTCACTCGTCCTAATGTGGCTGTACACTCTGGAAGAGGAGGGGGGAGGGTCTCTGCCTGTGGCAGTGTCCAGGTCCCCGTAGGGGGATGGCGGGGGGAGAACAGCAAGGGGTTTGGCCCTGTGCCGGCCTCTGGCTCAAGCAGGGGTGAGGTAGGGGGATGAGGTGGAGGTCCCCCAGGGCTCCCCAGCTGGTCTAATGGTGGGTCCAGAGAAGCTGGAGTACATGAGCGAGGCAGGCTCCGAGATGGGCTTTCCTTAGTATTTGCACCCTCCCTCCAGATTCCACCAGCCCTGTGACAGTCTGCACACTGGGTTGCCCATCCGTCTCCGATGGACCTACTCCTGCTGCCCACGAACGTGCAACCTCCCTGGCTGCCTACCGTGCTGAAGGGGCACGCGGCTGGATAGGATCCAGGGCGGAGCCTCGGGTGGAGAGGCAGTCACTACTTGTCTGGACAGGGTTGCTGAAACCAGAGGTTCCAATCGGAGAGTGGTTTTCAGGAACACTCGGAGTCCTCAGTTGTCTGTGATGATCTCTCTGGATGTTCGGGGCTGGGCACCTCTCTTTTCTCTCTTTCTCTCTCTCTCTCTCTCTCTCCCCCCTCCCTTTTTTTTTTTAACCCTTGCTTGGTGGATCCAAAGGGTGACTCCTTGTGATTTTAGGGAAGAGTTTGTGGTTAGGGACAGCAAGCGACGCCCTACCCAGATAGGATCTAGCGGATCTTGGGACAAACCGCTTTCCCAAGTTGTAAGACAGCATGAGCACCCTTAAGGAGTCCCCAGGCTGTTGGTTTGGGGACGTGGGTCTTGCCTCGCTGGTTTATCATGCAGCCCTTGACTACTGGGGACCACTGAAACCCTGCGTGGTGGCTTCCCTCACTTGATCCGGGGATAAGTTCACAGAAGGTGTCAGTTCACACAGTGGTAGCGTGTCCTAGCCAGTAACGGATATGAGTGCCTAAAGGGACGGTTCTTGGCCGCCTTGGATCCCTAACTTTGGATTCACGGCTAGAAGCCTCTCTGATAAAGTACGGGTGCCCAACTCGGGAACGGACCAAATTGAATAGGGCAGCTGGACACCGTGGTGAAAGGATGGCCCCCGTGCTGGACAGCTGTACTGCCACCTGCCCGTTCAATCAAGAAAGCTGGAAAACGGGCTCTGGGCCACCTAGGAGGTGTGGGCCGCCCCTCTCGCCCATCAGGTCTGTCGCCTCCTGGAGACTGAAGGACATCTCCGGCTCCCAGAATAGGATACTACAATATCAAGCCCTGCTGCTAGATTCCCCTCAGATTTCTTTAAATCCCTGTCAGCCTTAACCCCAGCTACCTGCTCCTCGATTCCAGTGGGCCTACTAGCCATGCTGCCCAGCAGTGGTTGCTGGCCACAGAGCTCTGCAGAGCGAGCCATGGAACGCAAACAGGGCCAGAGATCCTTAAAGTGCTAGGATTGGTGCAGGGCCCCAAGCGAGTAACGGCCATCGAAGTGGGGAATCGAAGCCACAAAAGGAAATAACTTGGCAGCTGCAGCGCAGCCGCAGCCGCAGCCGCAGCCGCAGCGCGAAAAGGGCCGCTGCATCAGGAGAGCTTCTCCAGTTACCATTAATTCC